TTTGTATTTTTAGTAGAGATGGGTTTTCACCACATTGGCCAGGCTGGTCTTCTGACCTCAGGTAATCATTTGTCCACCTCGGCCTTCCAAAGTGCTGAGATTACAGCCCCCATTATAGTTTTAGATCTTTCTTCTGTTACTTTTTTAAATGATTTATCTATCTCTGTCTTACATTAGATTGTAATCTCCTAGGACCATGTTCTTCATCTTGGTTTTTTTTATGCCATTCCCAAGCCCCGATTTCTAGGAAAATACTGTAGCTGTAATATGATACCCAAATATTGCGAATAAACAGGAATCCTCTAAACTCAATAGGGGGCAGGGTTTTTTTGATTTTTAATCCCCTAAAACAGTGACCTAAAATTAAGTTAAAGAGAAGAGTACATAAATGCAGCATGCTTATATAAGCATGTAATTCTGAAGGAATATCCTAACACTGACTCACACTCAAACTGATCTTTAAAAACAGAACCTTCTACATCGTGCTTATTTTCAAGGCACTCATATTCTAGTCTACTTAAGTGTTTCAATTGACAAGGCCTAATTTTTGACAGGTTAAATTCCCTAACAAATTTATCTTCTTTTTATTTCATCCCAAATAATCAGCTTAGTCCCCAAAAATATCTAGAGTAAAGAAAATCTCAACAACAAGGCTTATTCCACCAAGCGGTTGAAGGACTGGCATTTGCTGAAGTGAGGAATTCTCAAAGTTTCTCTTGATAGACACCTGAGAAAAAATTTACCTCCCCATCAGTCAACTTGCCCTTCAGATCAAAGTTAAATAAATCAAAATGGAATACAGTGATCTAGATTAATGTTGAGATAAGTTATTATCAGGAGATGCATCAGTTGAGTATTTGCCATATATCACCACCTCTTCTTAAGGCCTAATGAATGCATATTAATTATTACGCTAAGTATTAATAATTCTCAACATGAGAGGTACATAATAGAAGCTTTCATAGGTATCAATAAATCAAATGATATCTTGAGAAATGAATAGTAGTAAAATATTTGAAATCAAACGTTGATTTCACCAGTGAAACTGTTTCATCACAGAAACCAATTTTCCAAAGTTTAAAATAAATAAAACCAGAAATAAAATTAGCTCAGTAACACATAATTTTAATGGATTTTTAGCTAAATTTTTAAACGCAATTTATTATTCTTGAACTCTAATCCTTAAGAAGGGTTTTCACAGCTAACCCAACAACTAAAATGCCGATTTAACATCAAAGTAACTTAGATTCTATATTTTTAATATAAGTCCACAATCCTTTATACATAATTCTGCAATCTAAAACACTCTCAAAACAGAAAGCTTCTGAAAGAGAGTACTAAAGACAATCTGGCAGCAAAACCTGGTCTAAATTGCTTATTTGTTTAAATGTGAATCTTCAAATGTTTTGCTGCAGAAATACTATGTGTTTGATTATGTAGTGTTGCATCAGGCCCCACTGGGGCTTTTATAAAATATATGGTAACTGCTCTCTATTATTCTTCTAAAAACCAAACAGTTGTATATTCTGAAACACATTAGACCCCAACAGTTTAAGGTAAGAAACTATGAACTTGAAGTTACAATAGCCATACAAACACAGCTCCATCTAGTCATCTGATAAAGCAGGGCATTCAATTGAAGCACAAACTGTGCATATCACATTTAGTTTTCAGGTCAAGTCATAAGTACTCCATAAAAGAAACGTAAAGTTTTATTAAAAACCAAGATTTTGCTGGGCACAGTAGCTCATGCCTATAATTCCAACACTTTGAGGGGCTGAGGTGGGAGGACTGCTTGATGCCAGGAGTTCAAGACCAGCCTGGGCAACATAGTGAGACCTCATTCCTACAAAATGAAAAATTAAAATTTTTTAAAAAGCCAAGATTCAAATTAATTCCATTAAAATCCAATTGGGATAAACTGAAGACTCTAATATAAGAATGGAAAGGAAAAATTCTTAAATTCTACCTATGTTGGAAATACAGTTTTATGTAAAGCCTACTTTATAAAAATTTTTAAATAAACTTTCAAATCCATAGTTAACTGACAGGTCTTACTGACTGAAAAAAAAAAAAAAAAATAACCAATAAACATTTATTATACAACCGATTTTTTAAAAATACAAACTTCTTTTAAAAATTATTTTTCTTTATCTCATTCACCAATTGACCCAAGCTTTAATGTTCCTAGTACTCTATCTCATCAGGATAGGCTAATCCAGCTAATTTTTGGATTTTCTTTCTTCCTTTATTTTGACAATGCTTTTAAAAGAAAAACATCTGTCCATATCATTAGAAACTAGTCAATAAGCATCAATAATGAATTTTAATGAGGTAAATTAAAAATAAAGGGGATTTCATGAGACAAAATTTATCTGTTCAAACTTAAAAAGCCATATGTATGGCAGTTAAAATTTTGACACACCATGTCATACATGTACCAAGTACTCACTTCCATTATATAAACAAATAGCCACTGAACTACTGGCACCAGTCTGATTTTCCTTTATAAACTACTGCTCATTACTCCAGAAAAAAAGCACTAAACATTGATAAAGAAATTTTGTTATTTACTCAACAAATCTGGGGTCCCTGATACTGCATACTAGCAGTGTTCAAAATATTTTCCAATGGCAGCATAAAAATAAATGGAAATGCTTTTTAATAAACTAAATAATTTTTGAATGGTATTCTCCTAAGTAGTAACCCTAAATTTGATTAGCTTCATTCAAGAGTGAGAAATTACGAATTATAAATTTTTAATTTATTTTTGCATACCTGAAGATTGGCAAAATCCAGTATGTGAAGACAGCACTAAATTTTCAGTCACAGGCTTAATTTTCTGTTCATCACTGCTTCCCTCGCCTATAGAATTCTGATCATCATCTTCTATATCTGAGGAAGATGAGGATGTAATGTCTGCTTGCTTCCTTTTAGTGCTTGTTCTTAGGGAGTTTCTCTTTTTCTCCTTGACATTGACTGCCTTCTTTTTAGCTGAAGTTCTTTGCTTCTTCTTTTTATTATCTTCAGAACTTTCCTCAGCATCAGATGATGATGAGCCACTTTGTATTTCCTTAGTATTTCTCTTTGAACTTAAATTTCTTCTTTCCCTCAATTCTATTCTTTTCAGTCTCTTATCAGTAGAGTTACAACCATCTTCTTTCATGGAATATTTCTCAGTATCAGACGAGGAACAATCTTGTCTCTTTCTTGAACTCTTTCCAGGCAACTTGCACCTTTTCTTCTCTCTACCATATGTTCCATTCTTACTCTTTTTATCTTCTGAAGAGTCACAACTATCTCCTTTCCCTGTTGACTTCTCAGCATAATCAGATAATTCATCCTTCTTTTTAGAAGTTTTCTCTCTTATTTTTTTACTTTTCTTTTCTCCATCAGTTATTTCAGTCTTATTTTGTTTTATGCCCTTAGGAAAATGACAAATTCCTTCTGGTTCAGGTAACTTCTCAGTGCCATCAGATGAAGATTCATACTGTTGTTCCACTGTAATTACTTTCTTCTTAAAGTCTGAAGTTTTCTTTTCTTTTTCTTCAGTTTCCTTTCTGCTATGCTTTTTATCCTCTTCAGAAGTTTCATCACTCTGCTCTTTCTTTAGGAATTTCTCAGCAATATCAGATAAGCCATCCTGTACTTTTTTACATGTTTTGGTTTTGAGATGCTTGCTCTTTTCTTTAGCTTCAGGAACCTTTTTGACTTCCAAAGAATTGAAACTCTCCTCTTTCCCAGAAAGCTTAATGACACTATCAGAGGAAGCACTTGCTTGCTGCTTCTTAGGAAGTCGATCTCTCAATCCCATGACAGTCGTGTCTTTATCAATTGTGCCTTCTGCTGAAGAAAAATTCTCTCTTTCTTGTTTCCTTTCAGCATCATCAGATGATCCTTCTTGCAAGGTCTTCAAACTTTTGTGCCCTTGATTATCCATTCCTTTTTTGCTGTGTTTTTCATCTTCAGAAGAGTCAAAATCTTTTGTATTTTGAATTCTTTTTTTGGTGTTTCTGGCAGCACTGATTTTACTCATGCTCTTTATCTCTTTTTCTAATTCTGAGTCATAATTAGAAGACTCAGATTGGGTTTGTCGTTTCTTTTTAGAAATTATACAGCTCTTGGCTGATTTGCCTTTTTTAATATCAAAATCTGAGCCAGATGTAGAACTTTTTCGTTTCCTTTTTCCTTTATCATCTTTTCCCGCCTGAGTCTTTAACTCATACAAAGTCTTATGATTTGTATGAATTTCATTAATATCAGTATCTGAAGAAGAACTGTGACTCATCCTGCTTACCTCTTTGAGGATTGTTAGCATTTCATCAGAATCTGAATTTTGATCCACAGTCTCTGATTGCTTAGATTTTGGTAATTTATTAGGTTTAGGATTATCTATAGCACTGTCAGAAGAATTCCGCTTATCCTTTTTTCTCATTGGAACTGATAGTTTTTGATTCTCCTTAATTGTTTCATTACATTCTTCATCTGAATTAGATGTTACGGCGTTGGTTTCTGTCTGTCGTCTCAAGGGTGTAGTCTTTACACGTGGAGATCTTCGAAGATCAGATTCCTCTGAAAGTAATAAAACTTCGTTTTCAACCAAATGCTCATTATCACTGCTTTCCTGTCCAAGTCCACATTTCTCTAACTTGGGGTTCAGACCACAACTTTTATAGCCATCTTTATCTTGTGGAACTTCCTGACAATCAGCACCTTTAATTGGGGAATTAGAAAGGGAAACAGGGGTGAGTTTAACAAATAATTCTTTTGTTACTTTAGCTGTACTTTTTGATTTAATACCTCCTCTGTTGTATTTTGAAGAAACATTTAATTTTACAGATGAACTCTCCTGTTCTTGTTCAGTTCCACTGCTGCCATCCCCTTGATGATCAACTGAATTCTGAACTTCCATAGCAGTTTCAAGATTCTCAAAAATGTCTTCTGGAACTGAGGAAGGAACAGACACAATATCCATGTCTAAGTCTTCAGAAGTGTTGGCAGGTTCATACTGAGGTTCTTCTTTTCTATCAGATTTCTTATGTTCACCACTGATGTTTTTATTTGCTCTTTGTTCCTCTGTTGGAACATTCCGATCCATGTGCTCACTATCTACCTGTTTTCTTGAAAGTTTAGCTTCTGACTTTGAAATATCCTTCCTTTCTAATGCATAAGGTTTTTCTCCTTTTCTTGCTTTTGTTTCAAACTTAGCATCTATGACTTTATGCTCTTTGGTATTTTTCTCTTTGTTTACAGTCTCCAACACTTGAAACTCTGAATTTAAGTCTTCTTCCAAAGCAAGATGAGCCTTCTTAATATCAGCCAACACAGACTTAAAAGCCTTAAGCTGACGTAACTTTGTAACAGAACCGATTTCTGAATTATCTGTTGCCTGCTTTAAAAATTTAACATAACTGGAGTTCATGTTGGCTGTGGTCTCAATCAGTTTTTTTGCCCTCTTAATCATCTCTTTGGGCACAATTAGTGCTGCATAAGAGTAGGTTACAGAGCCAGAACAGGAATCATCTAATTTCTTTTCTTCTCCATTACAATTTGAACTATTCTTCTTTGGAGAAAATCGGGATGTATGTTCATATACTTTATTACTCTTTTCACTGTCAACTTTTATCTTCTTCTTATTTTGTTGCAACAACTGTTCTAAATTCTCAAATACGCTGTTACATGCAGTGACTAAGTCCAACAAAGGCTCTGGGTGACAAATGTAGCAATACCATTGGTTGTTTTCATCCATAATTGTGGACAACTCCTTTCGACCAAGGTTGCGTAGAATGCATTTCTTGCAGAAAGCATTATGGCAAAAGTCACAACAAATCAAGTTTCCACCTTCCGCACACCATCTGAAATGTTTTAAAGATTAAAACATTATTCCCTTCTTTTAGGAAACTGAAAAGATAGGTAAAAAAATAAAAATTCCCAACAAAACTTATTTTAAATCTCTTCATTACAATGCAATTTAAATTTTACTGCCAGTAATTTTAGTAGTAATTTAGGTCCTCTGCTTATTCTTTATTAGAAACTTAAACTAGACACAAACCTAGGGTTTATGGAAAAGAACAACTTTTCATTAAAGACATCAATGATGATACTATGAAAGACAAACCTCATCAAAGATTATGTAACAATTCCTCCCAAAAGTAGGTAACACTGAATGTTAGCTCATCTATATTACCTACCTACATTGTTCATCCATTCCATCCGAGTCACGGCTAATATCATCACTCATGTAATACTTAAAGCAATTCTATTAAAAGAAAAGAGGAAGGGGAAATTTTATTCAAAATTGGTAACATTCATAAAGGACAAAAACTTTTTTTTTTAAGTAATTAAAAACACTGAGAAAAATCTCCAGAACACTGGTATGGGCAAAGATTTATTGAACAATACGAAACAAGCTCGGGCAACCAAAGCAAAAATGGACAAATGGAAACACATCAGGTTAAAAAGCTTCTGCATAGCAAAGGATACACTCAACAAAATGAAGAGACAACCCACAAAATGGGAAAACATTTTGCAAAGTACCCATCTGAGAATGGATTAATAACCACAATATATAAGGAGCTCCAACAACTCTATAAGAAAAAATTCAAATAATCCAATCAAAAAATGGGCAAAAGATTAGATTGGACATTTCTCCAGAGAAGACATACATATGATAAACAGGCATATGAAAAGCTGCTCACCATCGCTGATTATCAGAGAAATGTTAATCAAAACTATAATTAGATTATCATCTCACCCCAGTTAAAACAGTTTATAACCAAACAACAGGCAATAACAAATGCTGGCAAGGATATGAAGAAAAGGGAACCCTTGTACACCGTTGGTGGGAATGTAAATCAGTACAACCACTATAGAAAACAGTTTGGAGATTCCTCAAAAAACTAAAAATTGAGATACCATATGATCCAGCAATCCCACGGCTGGATATATACACGAAAGAAAGAAAATCAGTATACTGAAGAGATACAGGCACTCCTATGATTGTTGGGCTACCATCTACAATAGCCAAGATTCGGACGCAACCTAACTGCCCATCAACAGATAAAGAAATAAAATGTGGTACGCATATACAATAATGTACTATTCAGCCATTTAAAAAAATGAGATCCTGTCATTTGCAACAACATGAATGGAACTGGAGATCATCATGTTAAGTGAAATAAGCCAGGCACAGAAGTACAAAGATCGCATGCTGTCACTTATTTATGGTATCTAAAAATCAAAACAACTGAACTCATGGATGAACTTATGAAGGATGCCACAAAGGATGGTTACAAGAAGCTGGAAAAGGTAGTGAGGGGCTGGCTAGGGAGGAGGTGGGGAAAGTTAATGGGTACCAAAAAAATACAAAGAACAGGACCTACTAGCACGATAGGGTGTCTACAGTCAATACCAACTTAATTATACATTTTTTAAATAACTTAAAGAATACAATTAGACTGCTTGTAACTCAAAGGATAAATGCTTGAGGGGATGAATACCCCATCCTCCATGATGTGCTTATTTTACATTGCATGCTCATATTAAAACATCTCATGTACCACATAAATATATATACCTACAATGTACCCACAAAAATTTTAAAGATAAATTTTTTTTTTTAAAGGGAGTATGTGTGCATGTTTCAGAGACTCAAAGTAAAAACACTGCACTACCCCAGCTGGGCGCGGTGGCTCATGCCTATAATCTCAGCACTTTGGGAGGCTGGGGTGGGTGGATCACCTGAGATCAGGAGTTCAAGACCAGGCTGGCCAACATGGTGAAACCTCTTCTCTACTAAAAATACAAAAATCAGCCAGGTGTGGTGACAGGCACCTGTAATCCCAGCTACTCAGGAGGCTGAGGCAGGAGAATCACTTGAACCAGGAGGCAGAGGTTGCAGTGAGCAGAGATCATACCATTACACTCCAGCCTGGGCAACAAAGTGAGATTCCATCTCAAAAACAAAAACAAAAACAAAAACAAAAACCCTGCACTACCAACTACCCAATGTCTGTATTTTCCAGACATCCAACTATCTCAAGAATTAATGCCTTGAAATAGACTTCCATACAATCAAGTACCACTGTTCCTTATTTAAAAGTTTATAAAAGACTTCTCCCTGGGCGTGGTGGTTCATACTTCTAATCCCAGCACTTCGGGAGGCTGAGGTGGGTGGATCACTCGAGGTCAGGAGTTCAAGACCAGCCTGGTCAACAGGGTAAAACCCTGTCTCTACTAAAAATACAAAAATTAGCCACATG